TAAAGAGCTTGTTTGGGTGCATGGCTGCATATATATGGTGATAGTCCCAGGCACAGAGCTTGACACTGGTTGGCTCTTCCTCAAACCCGTTAGGAGGACTTAGGTGAAGTTTAGGATAGGGAGAGACTGGGTGCCTGGGCCTCTTTGCAGGAATTCATTTCAGCCGTAATAAGGTAATTCAAAATACCAACAATTGTGACTTTCTAAGAGAGCATTTCTAAGCATTTTATCTCAGGCTTTAAGGTAAAATTCTAGTCCCATTAAAATCAGAAGGAATTTTGTCATTGATTTCTTTCATGAGTGGCAGTCTTTGTTTCCATCCTTGCAAATGAAACAGGCATTTCTGTTCATGTTCGCTCCATTGCATTTCAAGTAAAACCCTAAGAAATTATGTTTGAATAGAAATAATAGCTGGAATCCCCAGTTTTAGTGCTTGTACTTTGGATTTGGCCACAGACATGCAATGTTAGCAGCTGGAAACCATGTGCCATAAAATCCATGGGACTTTTTTCTTAAAGATTTGCTGATGTTGTGCCAATGCCATGCACTGCCTTGCTGTGCGTTAGCTGCTGTTGTGCTGTTCTACAGGGAGTGCAGTGCAGAATACATGCTAAGTGAAAGTGATAAACAAAAATAGTAGAGGCATAACACATGAGAGAGAGAAGAAGCTGCTTAGGTCACGAGGAGGAAGAGATGAAAGTAAAAGCAAAAGATGTGCCTTGTCTGAGAGAAAATTGGAGAATTGAGAAAGTGTAATGAATGTTAAAATGCTGAAGTCTGAAGGTAGATTTTGACTGAGGTGAAGAGAATAGAAACCAGAAGGAAAATGAAGAAGAAAAAAAAAAGAGTAGGTTTTCCCAGCCGCATTAGTCCCATTGCGTTTCCAGAAGGAGCCGGTAGGAAACTCTCTGTGTGCAGAGGAGCTCTGTGGAGGGCCGGCCCGCGCCAGCCCCCTCGTCTCTGCCAGCGAGGGATGCGTCAGGCAAAAGAGAGAGCAGTGGGAACAAGGTCTCTTATCTGATGTAATGCAGTGAGACGCTCCTTAGCTGCTCTTGGTTGTATCTGAGCTGGGCAGAGCAGTGTTAGGCATCTGCAAACAGCTTTTTGGAAGCTCTCATTCCCTTCCTCTACCATGCCTCTAAGTTCATAGGGGAGAAACCCTGCTACAATTTTTAGCTGGGTGGACTTAATTTTTTCTGCCATTTTATTTTGCACTGTTGAATTTTCCTTGGAGAGGTATCAATCTGGAGTAACTGCATCCAGCTAGGAGAATTATCTTTTGCCATTGCCATTCCAGGGGCCATTTCCAGTAATGGAAAAAATATGTAGAAAGTAGCCTGAATTGCCCCAGAATGGCTGCGCTCGCTGCTGTAGGCAGCAGGTGTGCTTGTTTGTTGACCAATTCTTTAAATGTTAACTTTTGTGCAGAGTTCCTAACAAAATCAGCTGGGGCCCATGTGTTCATCAGAGAAGGCTGAGGATGGTCTGAACATTTGGGATGATATTGAATCATCTCAGGAAGCTTCTTCACAACCCTAATTATTATACACTTAGGAGTGGATATGGAGGCTATAGGAGAAGATACAGGATTAAAATGTTTTTCAGGCATTCTTGAGTTGGCAGTTCTTAAATGTGAGTGCTTGAGCTTGTGGGAGGCAGTGTTCACTTTGCGCTTGCTGAAAAAGTCTCTGCTTAAATCCATTTCTGCCAAGCTAATCTGCTCTGCCTGTCATGAGTGGGGCAAAGAACAGCATCTTGGGCAAAAATCAACATGATAAATCACCTTGAGAACTGTCTTTGATCTTGAGTAAGTCCTGTGCTCTAAGTACAGTGCTCTAAGTCTAGCCCAGACCATGGTTGGTGTTAGTCAGCATCGAGGAGCCAGCACTTTCTAAAAAGGGGCTTCAAAATGTAATTGATTACTCCTCATAGCAATGAGCCCATAAACATGAGGCACCTTTTTCTTAGCAATTTGGGACAAGTGCAGGTGCTCTGCAGGCCCTGGGAAGATGCAAAGCTCAGTCTGGAGGAGAGCAGAACCTGTATTTGGGGAAAAGGAAGGTGAAGTTTAAGGATAGGATTGATTTTCTGTACATTTACCTAAGATGTGGGTGTCACAGCTGGCCAGGTAAGCCACTAGTTCAATCAATAAGAGACGACATCTCAGGGCAATCAGTCTCACTGAACTGAGACCTCAGTGTGGGATGCATTGCCCCCATTGGGTCCCTCATTGGCACCTGCCTCTCTGTGATAGTATAGGGAGGTGTGTCTGAGGACTTGAACCTTGACTTTTTGCCATCTAAGGTTAGGTGAAATCAATCCTGTCCAGACAATAGCCAGTTTTCAACCACTTTTGTAAAGTCTAGTTGGCCATGATGTATCCTAGGGTGTTGTTACATCTTTAGACTCTGTTAAATTAAACTGAGTTACCTTACACTCCACATCTCTCTTTTCTCATTGAATGTGGAGCATCCACAGGGTTGTAGGAATGAATAAGGAGTGGGTAATCCTTGGAGGACTTCATGTTGAACACAACCAACCTCTTCTGCTGGCTCTCCACTGTTGCTCCTCAAGATGAAGTTGGGCTGTTGTGCAGCTAAAATCTCAGTCCCCTGTGCTTCCCTGTTTTGCTGGGTTTACACTGGCAGGATCAAAGCAGCAGGGCTTTGAGAAATTTCCCGTAATTAAACCAATGCAATTCTGTCATAGCAAGCCACTGCACCCTAAGGCAGATAATAGCTTTGTAAAGAAGGAGGATATTTCTTTTCTCATTGTAAATTACATGTATCAGTTTTCTTCACTTAAAAAGCACCATCCTTATTTTCCTTAGGAACACCCCACCCATTTTCTATTCCGTCTCTTGGTGATGCTGTCTTATTTCAGTGGAATCGGAGTATTTCCTTCCCAAGTGTCTCATTAATAGCTGTTAGTTGCTGACAAGGGTGGTAGGTTTAATAGAGCCTCCCATTGAAATTCATTGTAAGACGGGTTCCCCTTTATAGACAGCCAGTTTCGACATCCCGTCTGTATGAAATACGTGCATGCTATAGAAGTTGGATTTGCACCATTGTTTTGTGCCAAAAGGCAGGAAATTAAAGAGGCAACATTTCAGTAAAAGAGTGTATGTGCTTTCTCTTTACCTGCTATTGTTGTAAATGACACTGAAGATTATTGCAAGCTTAAGAGAGGATTTTATGCAGAAAAGATTTGCCTTTTATTTGTCAGTGAATGTATGTGCTACATTAGACAGTGCTTTGTATTTAGTCAGCTTTACTGTGTAGTCTGTTTGGAAAAGAAATATAATTACAGAAATTGTAAAACCATAAATGATTGTAGGAGATTAGAAGGAATTCAAGTTTGAAACCATTTTAATACGTTTTTCAAAACTGTCTGTGTTTCAAGTTACTGTCTTTGGTTACTGCTACAGAGCCAGGTTATGTGTGCATTAAACTGAGCGTGAGTCCCTGAGGTTTGGCTTAGTACAATTTATGTTTAGATTACCATTAAAAGTAATGTCTCACAAATGGTAGACATTCAGTCAGTTATTCTGAATTCTTTTGTGCAAAATATTTACTGTCAGCCTCTATAAAAGTAGCAGCATTTAATTACTTAAATACAAATACTGAAGTAATTTTTTTCTGTTTGTTTTCTTTTGGATATAATTACAGAAATGTGGGAAATACTTTTCCAAGGCTTTTGAACTCGAAAGTGGAACAGAAGGAAGACACAGGGGGACATACACCATTCAGTGTTATTTTCCTTGCACAGGAAAAAAAGATCATTATGAGATGAGCACTATAGTCTCAAGTTTTCAAAGGTTTGCATAACAAACAAGAGACACATTGTGGGTTGCATCTTGACTTTGAAGGCTTGCCACTGTCAACTGAAATAAAATGGCAAGGTTTAAAGCCTTAACCAAGTTCACAAGGAAAATATTTGGACTAGAAGTTTTGGAAAGTTTTCTCTCTTTGAAGTAGTTTGTCATGTGTTACCAATGTGAACTTTATTGACCTTGAAACATTTTTTTTTTTGAATCAAATAGCAACTAGTGACACTTTAGTAAAATCTTAAATCAACAACCATCTCCTGGCGGCTCCAGCTTCGTAGCAAATGCAGGCAAAACAGGGAATCTACAGACGAGACCTTTATTATTCGTAAATGAAGCCTGCCAAAACCTTCCCGAAATAGCATTCAAAGACCCTTTTAAGGTCATGGATCCTGAACAAAGCCAGAAGAGCACAAAAAAGGCTGAGGAAAGTCCAAGAAAGAGGCTTCCCAAAGGAGAGGCTTTCCAAGCCAGTATTTCATCTGCAGCTACGTACCAGGGCAGCTCTGCTTCTTCGCAAGGAACCCCTCTCCGAGATATCATATCGCAGCAGCACTTTTCTGGTTCTTTGCCGATTCCAAGAGAGGAGTCTCAGGAGAAGACTGGACATCAGAAGCAACCTAAGCCTTCCTCTTTTGAACATCCTCCCCACGTTTCGCAGCTTCAGCAGCACACACTGTCACCAGCATTTATGTCTCCTGGGAAACCAGAGCATGTCCTTGAAGGTCCCACATGGCAGCTAGTTGATCCAGTAAGACCAGGTCCCTCTGGCTCCTTTTCATCACCCGGGCTTCACTCTCACCACGGCCAGCTCTTACCTTCCCATTCACCGATCATTCCTGGAGAGGACATGCCGTCCGTTCAAAAGGTCTATATCCCTCGCCCTTCGCAGGTTTCCTTAAAACAAGCTGAGGAAGTGCACAAGAAGGAAAAGAAACCTCAGAAGCCAGGCAAATATATTTGCCAGTACTGCAGCAGGCCTTGTGCGAAGCCAAGTGTGCTCCAAAAACACATCAGGTCACACACGGGTGAGAGGCCATATCCTTGCATTCCATGTGGCTTTTCTTTTAAGACTAAGAGCAATTTGTATAAACATAGGAAATCTCATGCTCATCGAATAAAAGCTGGGCTGGCCTCAGGGATCGGAGCAGAGATGTATCCATCGAGCTTGGAAATGGAAAGGATTGGCGGGGAGGACTTCGAAGAGCCAACAGAAGGAGAAAGCACAGATTCGGAGGAGGAAACGGGTGCAATGTCGGGCCATTCGGTAGAGCTTTCACCCAGGCAGAAGCACACCCTGTTGTCCAGTAGTTTGCTGAGTGGAGGGAGCCAAGGCTCCAGCCACGACCGGTGTTCATTGTCTCAGTCTCTTGAGGACAGCACCCAGTTTGTGGAGCCATCGTCAGACCATGCTCTGAGCCATAAATCTGAAGATACCCATACTATAAAGCAGAAGCTTGCACTCCGCTTAAGCGAACGGAAGAAGGTCATAGATGAACAAGCTTTCCTGAGCCCCGGGAGCAAAGGGAGTACCGAGTCAGGCTACTTCTCGAGATCAGAAAGTGCAGAGCAGCAGATCAGCCCACCAAATACTAATGCAAAATCTTATGCAGAAATTATTTTTGGGAAATGTGGTAGAATTGGGCAAAGGACTGCCGCGTTAGCTGCAAACACAACCCAGGGGTTTCCGCACCTGTCTACCGAAGAGAAACCTAGTATGGTACCATTATCTGTGCCTAGAACACAGGTTATTGAACACATCACTAAGCTAATTACAATTAATGAAGCTGTTGTAGATACCAGTGAAATAGATAGTGTTAAGCCTAGAAGAAGCTCTTTATCTAGACGTAGCAGCATTGAATCTCCAAAGTCTGGTGTATATAGAGAACCGTTTCAGTTTGATATCAAGTCTGGTTCCAGTAGCCAGTTGGATGCATCGAAAGTGTTGACATCCCACGGTGAAAAAATTAAGCCCGAACAATCATTATTGTCACTTCAGCAATCCCACAGTGCCACAGAGACAGTGCCTCTCCTAAGAAGCCACTCAATGCCTTCTGCTGCATGCACTATAAGCTCCCCACATACCTTTAGAGGTAGCTATTCATTTGATGATCACATCATGGAGCCTGAAGTCTTAAGCCGCAGTCAAGCGTTTTCTTCCCATCCTCGAATGCTAAAACGACAACCAGCTATTGAGCTACCTTTGGGAGTAGAATACGTCTCAGAGGAGGTTAGCTCTGCGAACAAAGAAACTGTTTCCAAACCTCCTGAGGAGCCTGAAACCAAGGAAAGCGATCTTACCAAAAAGTCAAGGAAGGGTCCGAAAGTTAAAGGGTTCATGTACGAGTGTAACATATGTGGTGCTCGGTATAAGAAAAGGGACAATTATGAAGCCCATAAGAAATACTACTGTTCAGAACTGCAGCTCTCAAAGCCTCGCTCTTCCACTTCCCATACCTCTTCAGAGACTGAGAAAAGTGTTGCGGATCCTGACACATGGCCCCAGATGATGCATTACAAGCTAGGGAGCAGTTTGGAGCTCACCCCACTCCGAAAAAGACGAAAGGAAAAGAGTCTCGGTGATGACGAGGAGCCTCCAGCTTTCGAGTTGTCTGACACTCCCTCCTCCAGTACTGGGCCAGGGACTCAGTTTGCAAACCTGGCATCATCTGATGTCGCTTTAAACCTAACCCGCGAATCCATTAAGTCACCAGCAGATCCGGGTAAATCCACACCTTCTGATGCCAGTGCCAGCTTTCATTCCAGGAGTACCAAACTGTCTTCGAGTGCAGAGGGCAAAGAGAGAAGAACGACCTCAAAGGAGATCTCTGTCATCCAGCACACGAGCTCCTTTGAGAAGTCTGACTCTATCGAGCAGGCGAGCAGCTTGGAAGGAGAAGAGAAGCCCTTGTCGCAGTACTCGTCTCAGCCAACACCCCAGCACAGCCGACCGCCTCACTCCCTGCAGCCCAAGCTGGTACGCCAGCCCAACATCCAGGTCCCAGAGATTCTGGTCACGGAAGAGCCCGACAGACCAGAAATGGAGCCAGAGCCTCCTCCGAAAGAGCCAGAGAAAACGGAGGAATTTCAGTGGCCACAGAGGAGCCAGACCCTTTCTCAGCTCCCTGCAGAGAAACTCCCACCAAAAAAGAAGAGGCTGCGGCTGGCAGAAATGGCTCAGTCCTCTGGAGAGTCCAGTTTTGAATCAGTCTCTCTCACCCGAAGCCCAAGTCAGGAAAGCAGCATATCCCATGGCTCCAGCCACTCTGTGTCGTTCGATCGTGAAGATCACAGCAAGTCGGAGTCAACCGGCCAGCCCTCTGAATCCCACCCAAAGCCTCCTGGCATTGGCTCACATATGTTGATGGTACCAAGCCACCATCATCATTCCAGGGAAATGCGGAGATCTGCTTCTGAGCAGACACCGAACGTGTCACATCCTTCCCAGATGTCAGAGACCCGCAGTAAATCATTTGACTACGGGAGCTTGTCGTCCACTCCTGCCTCAACCGCCGGCCCCTCGGCCTCCTCGGCTCCACAGGAGAGAAGGAAATGCTTTCTGGTTAGGCAAGCGTCCCTCACTAGACACCCAGAGCATGAGCCAGACTTGGGCCCAACAGGCCGGCCAGAGACAGAAGATTCAGTTCCTTCTTCAAGTAAATCTCCTTCGACAAGTTTGCCCCAGCAGCCAACATCTTCATCCCCTTTGCCCTCTCATGGTACTCACCCAAGTGAAAAGAGTCAGCCAAAAGACAGCCCTCAGCCAGCGTATACCCAGCCATACACAGAAGCTCTGCAAGTGTTTCACCATCCCGTACCACAGCTAACGCTGCATGAAAAGCAGTTCATGTCCCCACAAGTTTCTATCTTCCCCTACCAGCATCTCCTGCCGCAGCCAGGGCAGTCTGCAGAGCTCTTCGCCGCACACACTATGTCTGACATCCTCTCTGCTCAGTTCACCATGCCTCAGATTCCTCCTTCCATATTTCAGACCCCACCACTGCCTCTCCCGCAAACGCTCATCCACCCGGGCCCGCTTCATATCACTCCTCCCTTAATGTCTCACCCTGCTGAGGTGCCGTTCAGGCAGCATCCTTCATTCCTGCCAGTGCATTATCCTGGCTCCTCACCAATCCCTTCAGCCTTTTTTCTGCCTCTTCAGTCTCAGTTTGCTCTCCAGTTGCCAGGTGAAGCTGGTGGACATTTACCACAGATCAAATCCAGTTTATTCCCAGCAGCAGGAACCTCCAGTCTTTCCCCGTGCACAGAATATGGCTCAGACAGTAGGTTGCATCCTTTGACCTGCACAACAAGTCCTTCGGTGTCCATATCCGCATCTCAGCTCATTCCTACGCGGTCAGACCCAATGGTGTCGCTTGTTGTCCCTGTGCGCATACAGACAAATATGCCGTCCTATGGGAGTGCGATGTACACAACGCTTTCCCAGATTCTGGTCACTCAATCCCAGTGCAGTTCCTCTTCTATCATTCTCCCAAAGTTTGATGATCGCCAACCCAAGGGTACCCTGGTCTGTAGCGCCGATGTTCATGGACTAGGCTTCGATCTGGCACAGATGATCACAGAGGATCAAAGAAGCATTTTCCAGAGCCCGTATCTGAGAGTACCCTTACCCTTACCAGAACGAAAAGGCTATATGCCACTCACCTCCCCATCAGACAGCGTCCTTGGACTGGAAGGAGGCCCATCAACAGTTGGTGGAAGCAAAAGGATGCTCTCTCCAGCTGGTAGTTTGGAGCTGACAATGGAAACACAACAGCAGAAGAGAGTGAAAGAGGAGGAGGTGTCTGAAGCAGAAGAGAAGCTGGAAGTGGTGAAGCCACCCAGTGCAATAGAAGAAGGGAAAAAGCAGGATAAATCTCACTTTCTTACAGAAAGCCAAGGCAGGGTTGAGGTTGAGACACCACCTAGTTTGTCCTTAGAGCAGTCAGAGCCAAAGGAAATCCCAAGTACTTTGCAGCAAGCTGTGTCCCATTCAGGTTCTCCAAGTTTTGAGGCACTGGAAGAGTATAAGCAGCCAGCTGGTAAGCAGTTCCTCAGCAAGGCCCCTTTGCAACCTGTGAAGAAAGAAGACTCCAAAGAACTGGTGGAGCAGTCTCCACCAAACCCTCCAAGCCCTGCACCTCCGTCTGAGGTCACTCATAGTGCAATGAAGTCTCGAGAAGGTACAGATACAAAGAAGGTACTTCAGTTCCCCAGTCTCCACACAACCACTAATGTCAGTTGGTGCTATTTAAACTACATAAAGCCAAATCATATCCAGCAAGTTGATCGACGGTCTTCAGTGTATGCCAGCTGGTGTATTAGCTTGTATAATCCTAACCTTCCGGGTATATCCACTAAAGCAGCCCTGTCGCTCCTGAGGTCCAAGCAGAAGGTGAGCAAGGAAACCTACACCATGGCTACTGCTCCACGTCCAGAGGCAGGCAGGCTTGTCCCGTCCAGCTCCAGGAAGCCAAAAATGACAGAGGTAATGCAATCCTATATATTTCTCCTCATCCATTTGGATACATGGGAAGAGGGGGATGAGGGACGGGGAATTGCTATTCTTAGTTTAATAGGAGTTTATTCATCCCTGTCTCAGTTTGGTAAGCACCTGTTCTCAGTGAAACTTTTAGAATGAAGAAGCTAAAACTCACTGTAATCCAAAAAAAAAAAAAAAAAAAGGCAAGCCTGCTGCAAGGCAATCTGCCATGTTTCTTTTCTCCAGTTTCTACTTGCCTTGTAATCAAAAACGCATGTAGGAATCACCACCGCACCATGAACTGCCACTGCTCAAGCACAAAGGATTAGACTTGATTTGCATTTCTCTTGATATTTCAAATAGCTTTACAACTTTTTTTTTTTTTTTTTTTTTTATAAATGCTGTTATAATTCCCTACATTTTGCATGTTATAAATGAAAAAGGATTACCTTGGGGAAATGGGATTCTGTCTGGTTGTGCATCTGCTGATCGTACATTAATGAACATGGAGAGGCATACTTGAATGTATTTAAAAATATTAAAGGAAGATTTGCAAGTGTATTTAGGCCCCCAAAGAAGCGTAAAGGCATGCAGTGACATTTATAAAAGTGCCTCAGTAGGTTAGACATGGAGTCTTGTTAAAACACCCATGTCGCTTAGTCTGTTTAGTTAATGTCCTTAGCTGTCTACCTGCTTTTCCAGGTATCTGAGGATATTTAATACGGACTTAAGGGGAGCAAGGCAAACGGCTTCACAGGGGCAGAGCTCACCAGAGGCATTGGCCATATGGGCACAGAAGTCTTTAAGACACTTCTGGTAACTGCCTAGTGTTTTGTATCTCATTTTGAGGCCAGACTTTTCCCCTCTTGATTAATGCTGAACCATACAGATCCCTTTAATCCAGATCATGTTCATGTAGATTAGCAAACAGAATTGCTCTAAAGATTTTGCAATTTCATATTCATCTCAAGTCAATTTATATTGATGGATTATTCATTTTATTTCTGTATCATGAAATGAACTCTGAATATTAAATTTATCATAATTGCTGTTGCAGCTGCTGCTTATAAATATGTCTTAAAATACACAGTAGCGTCACTTTGATTCAATAAATCTTTATTTCTATTCAGCATTGCCATCATTCTACTGCAGAAATCCAAAAGACAGAATTTCTAGGGACACAGAGGCAGATAATTACCTGTGCAGTGCAATAACCACACTAATGCTTGATATTTATGCACTCTTTTTCAAAGGATTTTATCTGAACGGTGCCGTACCATCTTTGAGTTCATTCTCTAATAGAAGTGCCTGTGCTCCTCTGAGCTTTGCTCTTTGACATGGTGCTAAAATGCACACCAAGTGTGTGTTTCAGAAATACGAGACCCTCATACCCTGAAGTTAAAGGTTAAGCCCTGGACAGGAATGGTTCAGCCCTTAGTCATCAAAACACATATTTCACTGCATGCATTTGCTCAAAAGACTCAAAAACCTTTTAGACAAAACCCTGTAAGCTGACTGGTGGTGAAAGTTAAGGTTTTCATGGTACAATTCGCAAAAGTAAGAGTTTGTCCTGCCAAATTCACCTAGAAAATGGTGTAGCCTAAATCTAGTATTAATACCTGCTGCTTAAAGGAGTGGGGTTTGCAGAAATTATGTTAATTTCAACAGAGATAAATTGACATGCCAAGCAGAGAAATAATTTTTGATTAGATGATCAGTGGGAGTGAAATCCTCAGTGTAGTTTTTAAAATGCATATGACTTGCACAGATTAGGAAGTAGCGTTGCTGGTTACTCAGGAAGATGCGATTAACAGGAGCTGCGTAGCAGTAGCATCAATCAAAAGTTGAAAGTTCAACCTTCAGTTAACTCTGCTCTAGCTATTTCCCTTAAATATTTTCTTCTTTATGTAACTATAAGTTGTCAGTCAACGCAACAGAAAATGTAAAACAGCTCTAAAATTTTGTACAATTATGCATGCAGCCAGCTACCAGCAAGCAGTAGTACTGTCTATACTGTCTACGTACTTGGCTTGGTTTTTAAATTACCAGTGGGATTTACTGAGCAGATCAATTCTGAAGTGACTGTAGGCTCCAGCGTGCATGTAGGGATGGCTAATTACACTGTATCGGGCTTGCACACTTTGTAAATTAAACGAGATTGTTAAAGGGGATAGTAGTGACTGTATGATTTTGGCTCTCTCTGGTGCCTTTCATCTGTCTATGTTTTGTGCTTTCAAAAGTTGCAATAAATAAACCTCATGCTACATCTAGAAAGTCAATTGTTTTGTATTCCTCAGTAAATAAGGAACTGAACTGGGAAGGTTATCACTAGCGTTGTTATGAGCGTGTAGCTCATATCAGGAGGTGAAGTCATAACTACTGAGGTTTAATTTTTGAAGGTGCTCAGTGTGTCTCCTGCCACTGATTTCCTCCGAGCACAGATATCTCCATGCCCAGAGACACCAGCTCAAGACCGTTTCCGCTGTTAAATTGTTAAAATGGTTCCTGGCACAGTTCTGTCCTGGACTGATAGCCCTCGCCCAAGCAATTCCTGGGCACATCTAGGGAGATAGGACAGGACAGGGACCATTCCCAGGAGGCATCTAGGAAGGGTATGTGGGTCTGATGGTGTGGACATGGGCTAATCTCTGTAAGCTGGCCCCAAGGGCAGAGAGCAGTCTCAGGTGCATTTAATGCTCTAAGCTGAGCTCCTGAAATTACTGGGCAAATTTGAAACCTTTGACCTCAGTTTTGCAAAGCTACTTTTTAGTGAGTCCATCCCCCCTCCTGCGCAAATCTGATGGTCATACCAGCAGCACGCTGCTGTGGAGGCTGGGTTACATCCCGCTGAATTTTACATGTCTCAGTTTGAGCTAGTTGCTCTTGGCTTCCCGTATAACCATGCGAGACAAAGAGGCACCTCTTGGGTGATTCATTCACCCTTGAGATAAGTGCCCCCCTGAGGCCCTGCCCCTCTTTCCAGCAACTGTAAAGAGTCAAGGGTGACCAGCTCTGCTTTAGACTTCTGCCAGTTCGTTGGCTATATTCAGGCCAAAATCCGTCTAATAACCCTGGTCTCTCAAATGCCTTTAATCTTTTCCCGTAAATTCTATATAAAGTGAGGATGTGGGTAATTCAGCTGAACTTCAAAGATATTCTTGCATTTGTGTAAAAAGTAACCTGGGTGAAAGGCAAACTGCTTTCCTCTTTCAGAGCTTTGGAGACTCCGGTTATCTGTACTGTTAGGTTGTAGGGGGGCAACATCCCAAGATTTCATTCCAGGTGTGGGAAGCTCCCCATGCATCATACAGAGCTAGCTCTAATGTTTAGGTCCATATACTATAAAAAATAACATTAAACATGCTAGATGAGATGTCAGTGCATGGCTTAAACCTGAGTCTAAACAAGGGGTGGCAAGTTTAACAGTGAAAAAGCAAATTTCACCCTGGGAACATCTCGGGAGGTTGAGGATTATTTTCTCCCATTGGTTTTGTGGCTTTCTCTGTACGGCACCCTTGGCAACAGGGTTTCAGTGAAAGGAAATCACCCGAGAGCTTTGACTGTCAAGTGATTTATATCAAGTTTAGATGGCTAAACTCCAAATTTGTGTGAATGTGCGTGTATGTGGGGGAAACCCAAAAGTTGAGGTTAAATATATGAATTCTACAGATGCCTCCTCTCTAGACCTTTGTGGATGTATGTATTAGAGAGAGGATTATCCAAGGACAGAGCAGTGGATTTGGGAACAGAGACCCATGGCTCCACCACACACTCAGAGTCACCCCAGCCAAGACACTTCTCTTTATGCCTCAGTTTTCCAGTTGGCAAGAGCTGGATAATATTGAGCCACCATATGCAGGGGGTGATTTAAAAACTTGTAAGTGGTCACTGTAAATATATCATAACCAGCGGGGCTCTAAATCCAGAAGCAGAGGCCCTGTTTGTTAAGAGGATGTCCTAATTACTGCACTTAGCTGTCAGGAGCAGCAAGTGCAGTAGGTTGCTGGCTCCTTCTGAGGCTGTTTGGTCTGTGTCTGTCTTAGAGTGATTTTGTATGTAATCGATGATTGTTTTGCTCTTTTGGGGAGATAGGTTCATTTGCCTCCGCTCCTTTCTAATGAAGGTCGAAAAGATATAACTAGAGCTGAGAAGGAAGAGGATAAAAGAGGAAAATCAGAAGAAGAGGCTCTTGTAACCAAAAGAGGGGAGCCAGTCAGGATCAAGATCTTTGAAGGAGGGTAAGTGTCTCATTTTATTTCTCTCTTTGTGTCACATTGTATAGGAGTTACTGATAACAGTGATGGCAAGTCAGTGAAGGTGCCACGTGGAGGTGAGAAGGAGAAGGCCAAATATAGTTGGATTTCAGCTTACTTTCCACAGCCACTGTAAAAACCTGGCCCTTGAGATCAGTAGATACTCTGGACTGCATTAATTTTCTTTTTTTGAGTTGTCTTCAAGTTAGAAAGCACCTCAATCTCTTTTCGGAGTGGGTGGTCGAGTGAAGATGGTTGAAGAGCACAAACACGTCCTGCAACTGTCTCTGATGTGACGGGGGTGTACTCCATATCTTCCAAATCTTTCCAGAGCCTTCTCCTGAAAATGATGTTCCTAATGGTTGTTACCATTATAAGGAGGATCTGGGGAGATCTTTTCTGACGCCTGGGTTTTGGGTGGGGGAGAAGAGAAGGGTTGTATTTACGTGATTTTAATCCCACCTAACCAAAGTAGTTCAAACCAGAATGGATGCAAGATCTAAATTTGATGTATATCTTAATTCTCAGCTCCAGGTAATTCAGAGTACTCTTCAGTAATTCAGCACTGGTCTAATACTACTGTTTATCTTTTCAAAAATAAAAAATCAGCTAATAAGTAGCGTGTCTGTGGGATACAATTAAAGTTCATACTTCAAGATCATCCTTCCTGTGTCTTGCAGAGGGGGCCAAAGAGATGTAAGAAATCCCTAGCAGGATTCATCAGTTCTGCTCTTGCTGTTGGGTGGTCTTGTTTTTTGTGTGTTAGAAAAAGGCTTTAATTAGTCAGTGGTTGTGGTTTTCTGCTGTTACCGGTTGAAGTTTGCTTTTATTTTAAAATACTTCATTAGCAGATGATCAAACTAGCTAACCAAAAGAGTAAAATAGTGCTTTGGGAAAGGAAACCTGCTTGTTTGTTCAGGACAACTCACCTCTCACCCAGACGTAGGCACTATGAGCCCAGCTCAGGTTTAGATATGTGTCGGTAGTGAGTGGTGAATGCTGAAAGCTAAAGTAATGGCAACCTGTAGTGGTTATGACCTGAAGTGATTTAGGGAGGGAGACAGGGAATGGCAAGAAAGCAACAGACTGAGAAATACGTTGGTTCGGTACGTTTCCATCACCCTCCTGTAGCAGATAGGACCCATGGGACTAACTGAGCGCTGGGTTTTATTGCCTTAATGCCCACGAGAAGCCTCCGTTCCCCTCGACTGTGTTGTCCCGGAGCTGTGGCCGTTTCAGGGGGACTCTTGGACTCCTTCCTAGACGTGATTAAAGAGGCTGAGCGTTAACAGTAATGAAAATCACCCTACCCCTTGCAGAGCAGCTCCATGGAGGTTTTTTGGGGAGAGACGCGGGGGTGTTCGGTGCTGGCTGCTCCCCGACTGCCCCCACCGAAACGAGCCCGTCTCCACATCCCTGCGCGCACGCGGGAAGGCTGTTTGCGTCCCCGAGCCCAGCACAACGGATGCGGAGTCACATTTTCTAAATGACAGACACAAAATAAAGCAACTTTTCCAACATGTTCTGTGTAAGCCAGCATCAGGGAACGCATTAGTCATCCTGAACGTATGCTATGTTTTATTTTAAAGTTCCTGTAGCACTGACTTAAGGCAGACGTCCTTCTGGATGTGAGACAGAATATAGTAGCTGTTTAATGCCAAGCACAGGCACTAATGTAACACACCAGGTCGCAGAAATAAATTTTATATCTAAATTACATGGCTTACGCCCTGCAAAGAGGTCAGGCAGGACAGGCAGTTCTCCCAAGGTGCTCGGTGCGTACCTGGTGGTCCGTGGCTAGTTCCCCCAAGGTTTCTGATGTCAAATTGTTCAGCCTCAGCAGCTTGTGTCTGGGAGGATATTTTCCTGCAGTGAAGGAACAAGCCTGCAGATGAATCCACAGGGTGTCTAGTGCTTTGTGGAAGATACTAAATGGATCAGACCCCTTTCCTGGCCATCTCTTGAAAATGTTTTACAAAAAGTACATCAATTCTCAAGACGTTATTTCACTGTCTTCCCCTCCCCCCCAAAAAAATTTCCTCATCTCAGTTTTCCCCTTATTTATTGGTTTCACATGGTCTGCTCCTGGCTGGATCCATCCTTCCAGTGAGATGCAGTTGGTTTTGAATCTTTTGGAGCCATCCCATGCTTTGTTGCCTCAAACAAGGAGGGAGATTATAAAGAAATTCCAGTGTTCCCACAAAAGGTGAACTTGCTGCAGCTCTTTTAGCTCCTTCTTCCCCTCAGTTTTTATTTATTTAGAGTTCTTGCCTTTGTTACTCTCATTTTCAACACTTGCTTTTCCCTCTGTACAGTCTTCTGGCTTCCCCAATGCCATAGCTGTCTTTCCCCCATTGCTTCATTGTTTATGGCACTGCCAGGACCAGCTCTGCTACTTTCCTTGCTGCTGTCCAGCCTGCCAGCTAGAATCATATTTCTTGGCTTTCAGAGAAGACCAGAAAAGCCAGATTTCATACTTTCATCGTACCCATTGCCCATTTTTAAGGAACAAACCAATGAACCCACCAGAGGCTCTCAGAGCTCTCTCTCTCATTTGAAGATGTCTCCTCCCTAGCTATGAAAGTGGATGGTTGCTTTGCTTGTGTTTACCTACTGGGAAGTGTTTTGGAAACAACAGCTTGCAGGTTCCTTGAGCCTTGAGGTACATTCATACCTGGGTTTAGGATCAAGGCTCAGTAATGCCATGCATGGGATGTGCTTGGCCTCAGTTTCTTCCCTCATCACTCCCCTCATCCCTCTTCCCAGGAAGGGTGTCAGTCAGCGCCTGTGGTGCCATCTCATAATGTAGAGTAGCAGCCACTGGGGTTGACAAGAGGACCTCGGTGGTGGAGGTGTTCAGCTCCCGTTGACTTACCCAGCCATTTCAGCATCTGCCTCCGTTCGCCTCCTCTGTGAAGGAGAGAACCTGTAGTCCCTTTGTGTTGTGTCTCTGGTTTCTTGGGGACCACAGGAGGGACATGCATGGTTCTGCCTTGACTTTTCCACAATTAACTGTAGACAGGATCCACAGAGTTTTCTGTTGGGCTCCTGTTTAAAGAACAAATTCCTCTTAGAGAGCAAGTCTTAAGATCACTTCATATGTAATTTCAGCAGTGGCTTTTTACTTGCAGTCCTGAAATTTCCTAAGACTGGCTATACCTCCATTGCAACCAGCATTCACCCCCTGCCCCATGAACACACCCCGTGCACTTTACTGCAAAGGAGGTGGGAGTTGTTTAACGTCCCACACACAGGCTGGATGCTACACGGGTTGTGTTTGGGAGAACCATGCCATTAAGCAGTCAGGTCAATGTTTGTACTCCTGAAGGAGCTAATAAAAATATCCATTGGAATTGTCCTGAGGGATGTTGTGGTGGTTTTGAGCAGTGAAAATGATCTTTGAAGGTCAAGCTGGCCAGCACTGCTTCAGAAGAAGTGCCGTGATTCCTTGGTGGCTCTCTGTCACCTTCATCAATCCACTCTGGTACTTTGGAGGCACCAGGCCCATTCTGAAATCTTACATCATGAAAGTGTAGATTGGTATCGACCTGATTTGAGAGTGAGGTTTCTGATGGTATCACGGTCTTGTCAGGGAAATGTTGCCTGTTTACTGTGCATTAGCATTACCATGATGAAATCTGATAGTAGTGGGGTAGTTACAGTCGATACATGTTCTTCTATTTCATAGCCAAACTCTCTGTGCTTTTATGGGGCCCATCAGTTGCCTTATCGCACTAGTTGATTGCAACT